TATTTTTTTTTTTTTTCGTAATTATCACTGACCCATCATGGGTTCCCTGACTGTTTGAACCGAATAACGGGATTGACTGTCACTAATATAACGCGCTCACAGCATCATCAGGTCTTAAACCTTAGATCCTTCAATCAACGATATGACTCGCTACCTACTAAGCCAATATAAAAAAAATATGAGGTAATTACATACTTCAGGCAAATAGAGAAAAAATACACATAATTACATTTTTTCACGTTAGGATTAATAGATGTTAAAACAGCTTATGTAAAATACTGTAGTAACGCCAACAATATATATAAAACTACACCACTGTTTACTTTGTGAAAATGAACATGTTGTTGAAATGTGAACCTGGTAGCCACAACAGACAGACGGCTGTTTTGTTGCTTATTATATGATCGTTTGTTTTTAATTATGCACAAGCTACACGAGGGCTATCTGTGCTCTGCCCACCACAGATATCGAAACCCGGTTTCTAGCGTTGTAAGTCCGCTGACATGCTGCCTGTGCCACTGGGGGGGGGGGGGCATTATATGATTGAAAATATCCACGAAACGAACTTTAATTAATATCGGATACTTTTTTTGATATTACAGACTTGTGTTGAAATCCTTTGCATAACATGGTAGTCTTTGTCGTAGAAGTGTTCGAGAATTCGTTATTTAATATAATTAAGGTTGATTGTCCAATTAAATTGTGTAAAATACAGAAACGTCGGTGCTTAATAATCCGTTAGACTGTCGAAAAATAATAATAGTAAATAAAATTTTAATGAGAAATTCAACCGTATTACAGGGATTGAAAAAAAACCACGCGATAACCTTGCTAATAATGTACTTTTCGAGTGTACTAACAAAACCAAGACGTGACAATATATTCAAAAATACAGGGAAAGACCAACCCTGCTCAACTGTTATATCAAACAATGGCGATACACACACACACACCACGAGTTTTATTCCATAAAAATAAACTTTCAAAATAAAACTAACTTCAATCCGAGGAGTAGAGAGTTTGACCTAAGCCTAATAATAATGAATGTGTTCATGAGAAAAAACGAAAAGAGATTAGCGTTCCGTTTTATCATTAGGACCTTGGCGATAACCTCAGACCTTCAGTTAAAACAAAATCCTAAACTATTTCGAAATAACTGTTACCATTTTGTTCTACTCAACAGGACACATATATATATATATGACTTGAATAGGATTTCCTGGCAGTGGTGTTATGGCAGCAAACGATTGTTCAAAAATCCGACACTTTACCACTAATATATATATATATGTGTGTGTTTTGTG